GACTTACGCACTTTTTACATTTTTTTGCTGTGTGATTCCTTCATGGCAGTAATATACTTTCTTACTAAGTGCACCCACACATATTATAGATTGTTTTTTTAGAGGACAGATAGGGCTATATATCTATATCACATGTGTACCTAACGCCTCACTTAGGATGAATAAAATATTCAAAAATTAGGAAAACATTTTAAAGAAAACACTTTTTCCCTAGTCTTAATAACTATATTTTTTGATAAATAGCACAGCTAAAAAACTCTTTTTGGAAACACTGCACACCTCTAGGATTTAAGAAAATTGTTTGTACTATTGAGCCTAAAACTAAAAGCTTACATTTTGTTTTTCTAAAAGCGCATAAGTGGTCACCAGGTTAGACATGTGGCATACAATGTCACTATCACTAAGTGTCACACTTAGTGACAGCAACATACTTTCAACATCGCTGTCACGAGGGGGTTAAATAAGAAAAAAAATCAACCCCATAGGGGGAAAAACACATCTGCAGCTCAGCTGCAGATTTCCATAAGGGGTTAATTTTTTTAATATTGATAGTATAAAAATATATTTATATACAGAAATTTTTATTTTTTATTTTTTACACTTTACACTATTTTTTTAAACATTTGTTTACACATTTATTGCATTTAATTTTAATTATATCGAGCAGTCATTGTGAATGAATAATACTATGACTGCTTGACAATCCAATTAATAAATTTTTGGTTATTATTAGGCTGCTCCAAACTTCGTAGCAGCTAATAATACCCTTGGTGACACTGGCCTTGCAGCATGTTAGGGTCAGATGTCACTAAAGGCTGATAAAATACTGATACTGTACTTGCCTGAGGCATCCATTAATGAACGGTAACCACTGATTCTTGGCGGTTACCGGCATTACAGAAACCCGAATAGCTGATCATGTACTTTTTGGGTGGATATGACAGACTGGCTTTCTCAGGCTTACAATTGGCATTACCCGAGAAAGCATGCAGTTTTACCAAATGCATGCATATTTTTGCATCAGTCATTTCTACAACATGCTGGTGTTAGGAATTCAGGAAGTTACCTTGATCTCTCATTTTGCCTTGGCCAATATAGTTTCTGTGGAACCAAAATGAATGTCCTTTATTGAGAACTACTCTCAAGGTTTGTACATTTTCCAGTGAAGGATATTCAGTATTGGAACATCCAATAGGGAAATCTTAAAGGACAATTCTACACTTCCATATATGGCCTCTGTTCCTGGCCATAAATATAGAAAATGCTAAAATAAAGTCAAAGAATTTTAATCTAAAATATATAGACAAAAAAAGCAAAGAGAGGATGCTGTCTCATGATGACAGAAATAATAATGGCATTTTCATGACAGATGATTTTGAAGGAAGCATTGGTGGGGACACATAACCTCCTCAGAAGGTGCCATCAAAGTTTGTATTCTGCACAATTTTGTGATGCAGCTAGTGCTTCTATTTAAATAAATATCTATTTGAATAAATATCTATTTGGCTAGGTTATAAATCTGACTCAAAAGACTTTGTGATATACCACTGTATTATCGTTTCCCAAATTCAAGCAAAGTTAATCTCTCTTACAAGACTTTCTTCTATTTTTCACAGCTGAGGTTTATCATGATTGTGCAGTTCCCAAGATCCCATGTTTTTTTTATATGAAGACACAGTTAAGTTCTCTTACCATACTTCCATTTTTCACAGCAAAGGCTTATCGTCGTTGTGCAGTTCCCAAATTCCCATATCAGCCTTAAATCTTATGATTTAAAGGATTAATATGGGTGAGACTTGGCTATTTATGTGTGAACTTCTAAGATATTTTCCAAATGTTTAGGCAAATGGCGTCAGGATATGATCAACTTACAGAGCAATATAATGACTATATAATGAATATAATGCTATATAGAGCAATATGATGACCCTTTTTCCCACTTCTGTCATCTTTGCATGGAAACTCTACATTAATGAGGAGCAAGATGAAGAATATTGAGTGTTCTTAAGTTTCTCTTAAACCTCTTGCTTAAGTAGGTTTCCTGTAACATGATTTGGTTCTGTGTAAAGCTGAAGGGATATTAGAATTATCTAATTTCCAAACTTGTAAGTACTTTACTTCTTTTCTACAGGTCTGACAATTGCTTGGTCTAGTTTGTGTACAGCTCTCAACTTACAATGAAGATATCTTGATGATTTTCTTTTTCTTGAGGTTTGATCAGTTCTGATACTCCTAATAAACGCTACAGTCTACTGCTAGATTCTATGATAAAAAAAATATATAATATACACAATATAAGCTTGTCTATATGGTATCCAAGGTCTGCAGCCACTTGAGGGCTTTCAGAACTTCACCTTTTAGAATAAGCAATCTGACCCTGAATATGGGTGTAACATGAAACATGCAACATGGTCAGAAAGGTAAACTTGCTTTTCAGCTTACCCGAGACAAACACCCATCAAGATCTGGAATCCTCTATAGTTGTAGTCTTGTGTAGACACAGACCTATCGCTGAACCTATTTTGTTAAAGCTGAGTGCGTGGGCAGATAAATCTGGGCAAAGTGAAATTAATTCAAATAGGGCCTTTTTCATTAACCAAACTGTGAAAACACAGGGGTACCTTCAAAATCAATTTAATCAGTTAATACACACTTTTTATGTCCTTTAAACTTACAGGCAAAGCAGACTTAACAGCGCTGATATGAAAATGTAGGATTTAGTCAAAAGTCAACAGCTACCATAAGGCCTCATTCACACTGCGCTAACAAGGGGCGCACATGCCTATATCAGTCTGTTCGCGGCGGAGGGACACAGGTGCTGCATGTAGTAGCAACCTGTTCTTCCCTATGGGAGGACGCACCCGTGCGTTGTCATACGCACACCGAACTGCACATACGTGCGGGACCGAGTGTCTGTACTCAGATGCAGTAGTTTCTGTAAATATCAACCAAGGAAAGTGATATTAAAATCAAAAGAATTTTAAAGTGACACTAAAGCCTATCTGTGAACTGTACCTAATCACATTGTTCATTATTCTTAGACCTAGTTCACGCCTAGGCAGCACCGTTTTTGCACGTTTATGAGCGTTGTGCACTTTCGTATGCGCGTTTTAACAGGCGTACGTGAAGATGGGTTTTGATTGGCAGCTCATAAAACATTGTGGGCAATGAAAGAACGCGCGTATAAATGTGCAAAAACGCTCACTAAAACATACAACATGATTCTGTTGTGCGTTTTTGGCTATTTCCAATTAAGTCTATGGGGTTATAACAGACTACCCAAAGAAGCTCCTGTGTCTTTTCAGGCGTTTGGCGTTTTTCTGCTTAGGTGTGAACCAGGGCCATTGAAAATCATGGGATTTCTTGTATTAGGCATTTAAAGTTCAGACAGAGCCGTAGGTGTATTTTCTGGATAAGCATTTTGTGTTGACAAGTTTGTACTGTTTACAATACAGTAACACCAAATTATTTAATCTATGGAAGTAAACATCAGTTAACTGGACAGTTATCCTTTTAAATAGCACCACAAACCTAACTGTAGAGACATGACATAAGGTTGAGAAACGTGTGCTCTGTGAGGGAAGTTACATGGCACCACGCATTAGTAACTTCTGAATTAGCAGAACAAAAACTGATGATGGATGTAAAGAGAAGATGGTGGGCAATGCATTTAGAAAGGTCTAGTAAAAACAGTAAAACCAGTATGGCTGCAACAGAGCAAACACATACTGAAAGTTACATGTTTCTGAATGACAAGTGCATTAAGGCTAAAATGTGGTTGTGCAAGGCACGAAAATCGATTCGGTACGATATAAAATATTTTTACAAAGACTGTTCAGTATTTTTCCAGTCTTTTGAGGCAGAATTAGGTTTGTGATGAGATGAATGTTAAAATGTATCTTCTGAACTTTTTTCTTTTTGGAATATATGCTAGTAAAAATACTGACATTTGTATGTACAATACAAGACACTTTTCCAACTTTATATAACAGTATGGGAATAGGAGCAATATGAAAGGCATCTCCCAAATGACCCAGCTATCTTTTACTAATCCATAGGAAAAGGCAAGCATACCCACTATTTGTCTTACTGTTAAATCAAACAGTAGGTATGTTGCAAAATTAAAGACGTCATTATTATCTTCACGTTTCAACACATCAAGTGTGTTGCATGACAATGCACAGACAATGATAAAAACCTGATATAGGATCTAACTCTTCCTCACTCTAACCAAAACTAAAAAAACATTTTGCCTATAACTTTAATAAGTACATTTAGGCCCCGTTCCCACTGCGCGATATGCAAATCGCGCGTTTGTCGCGCGATTTGCATATTTGCGCGACATCGCGAGATTTGCCGCGCGATGTCGCGTTCAAGCTTGCATTGAGCAAGCTTGAATCGCGGCTAAATCCGCTCCAAAAAGGGTCCTGCTGTAGCGACACACGACCCGCGACAGCAGGACCCTTTGCCCCATTGGATTGCATTGGAGCGCGATATCGCGCGGTAATTTGCCGCGATATCGCGGGAATTACCGCGCGATAAATCGCTCAATGTGAACGGGGTCTTAGAAATAACGTCATGGGATGTATTTAAGGAGATTTCTAACATACTGCTAGATTGGAAAACAAATGTATGCTTCTGCTTTGCTTCCATGGGTAATGCAGACACTCTTGCCTTCCTTCAGTTTATGTACACAAAGCCGCAAGCAAAAAACACACACTGCATAACAATTTACACTAGTAACGTGACCAATTTGAGCCACTGCTAGTAGTCTGGTGACCACAGCAAAAATGGTAGGACTCCACTGTAATCTAAAATGTTGCCAGTACTTTCACTTGAAAGTCCTTACTCTAACACTATTGGACTATCTTCATGTTTATTTTTGGCAATTACAAACCAAGTCATTGGGTGATACTTCTAAAAGTCATCAACCTGTGCTGATCTGCGAGTGGATCACTGAACAAAGTAGATTTTAGATATCAGGATATGTTTTCCCTTACCTCTGCTTTAATCTCCGTTTAGCTGTAGTGGGGATGTTGGCTCCATATCCATATGAATACAGAACTCTTTCAGCTTCAATGTCATCTTCCACTGTAAGAGAACATAGTTATTTATCATCACAAGTTATGCCACAAAAGACATTAGTCACCTAAAGCCACACTGAATATACACACACACACACTATATATATATACTACACACTATATTGCCCAAAGTATTGGGAAGCCTGCCTTTCCACACATTCCGCACATTAACTTTAATGGCATCCCCAGTCTTAGTCCGTAGGGTTCAATATTGAGTTGACTCACCCTGTGCAGCTATAACAGCTCCAACTCTTCTGGGAAGGTGGTCCACAAGGTTTAGGAGTGTCTATGGGAATGTTTGACCATTCTTCCAGAAGTGCATGTGTGAGGTCAGGTACTAGACTAGAAGGCCTGGCTGGCAGTCTCCACTTTAATTCATCCCAAAGGTGTTCTATCGGGTTGAGGTCAGTACTCTGTGCAGGTCAGTCAAGTTCCTCCACCCCAAACTCGCTCATCCATGTCTTTATGGACCTTGCTTTGTGCACTGGTGTGCAGTCATGTTGGAACAGGAAGGGGCCATCCCCAAACTGTTCCCACAAAGTTAGAAACATGAAATTGTCCAAAATGTCTTGGTATGCTGATACCTTAAGAGTTCCCTTCACTGAAGCTAAGGGGCCAAGCCCAACCCCTGAAAAACAACCCCACACCATAATCTCCTCTCTACCAAACTTTACACTTGGCACTCCAGAGAACACATCTCCACTTCTCTACAGTCCAGTGGCGCCGTGTTCTTCACCACTGTATTCGACGCTTTGAATTGCACTTGGTGATGTAAGGCTTGGATGCAGCTCCTCGGCCTATGTGGCCTACCACTCCGTGGCTGAGTTGCTTTTGTTCCCAGTTGCTTCCACTTTGTTATAATACCACTAACAGTTGCCCAGTTTAGTGTTATCAGTCATTAATGTCTCTAAAATTATTGCTCTCACTCCCACGTTTGCGGCGATATGTAACATATATGCAGCACAATAGGTGCAATCGTCGTTTTCGTACGTAGGCGCACGTATCACATATCTGCGTGTGTATGTGGGGGGCGGGGACTTAAAAAAAATGTTTTCTTTTTAAAAAAATTTTATGCTTCTTTATTTTTTTTATGATTCTTTAATTTTTGTTTTACTTTTTTTTTACACATAACTTTATTGCTATTACATGGGGGGGCTAAGAAGCCCCCTATGTGATAGCCAATTTACATGACAGGTCCTCTTTATGGAGACATCAGGGGTCTCCAAGACCCCTAATGTCACCTAGGGACCCCCAGGGAAGCTGATGAAGCAGATCTCTGCTTCATCAGCTTCTGTAGCTGGAGAGTGACACTGAATGCAGGAAGTGATGTAATATACATCACTACCTGCATTTGGGGACTGAGAGGAGATCAAAGGGAGTTCGTATACTGAACTCCCTTTGATCTCCTGTCACAGCGGATCTCGGGACCGGCAACAACAGTGACAGCTGCTCATACAAGCGATCGAGCGTCTTTAGAGACGCCCGATCGCTTGAATGTAAAGCTCCCGGCCGGCAGAGAATTACAACACATCTTCTTTCATCATTTGGAAGAGGGAAGGATTTGCCAGACATGTGCAGGTCCTTAAAGTGTAGTTCCACTTCCAGCAAAAATTGGGATGACAACTATTTTATATTAGTTACATGTTCCCATTCACCAAGCATGACTAAAAAAAAAAAAATTTGCTGCTTACATTTTTAAGTGCTTTATACTTGCCCTCATGTAATAAGGAAGGGGATGTGGGGAATTATGTTTACTTCAGTTAACCCTGTCTGTACTGTGCTGGCAGATTTCATTATCAATTGTAAATTAGATTTGAACACTGTCTGTCCTAACAAAGGGTAATGACTTATAAACATTGTATGTAAATGAGAGGAACCCCAATTTGTCCCTCAGTTCGACCCTCTGCTTTTACTGCTCAGAGGAGCCTGGAATCTGTGCAAAGGCCTTCACCAAAGACACATCTAAAAAGGTAAGAAATATACATTTTAAAAATTGTTATAGAAGGTATGTTGTGTGAACGGGAACCATAACAAACATATAGTGGCATTTTCTCAAAATTGAATACAAAATGGTACTACACGATTTTAAACAATGGTAAATCTCTGCAGGAAAAAATTAGCCCTTCTAATAGTTCTAAGTGCTTGTTATTGTCACCTAGTGTAGCCAGTGGTATCTGGCTCTAAATTGGGCCAGGGATGGGCTTTTTATGGCAACCCATAACTGAAATTCTATTTTGATCTGCAGATACAGACTGAGAGAATAGCGGGAAAGAAAGAACACCTACTTTGTGCAGATTGCATTATGACATTGTCAAGTTCTTGTTCAAGCTTTTCATAGGTTTCTAGTCTAGTGCGATGTTCTGAGTTCTGTGCTTGAAGCTCAGTGATTCTTTTTTCTGAGGCTGCTTGAAGAGCATAGAATTCTTTAGTTAAAACCTGAAACAAACAGAAATTGTTTTAAAATCAAAATCAATTACACAAAATTGTTAGTTATACAAAACACAGCTTTCTTTTGTAAAATAGTTGCATATCCAAAAGCAAAAAAAAACATAACCTAATGAAATGAACACATGAAGAATCCACAGACTATCATTGAACTACTGGACCTTCCTGCTGAAACTGGGCAGTGTATAGGGTGAGGATATCAAACAAGGTCGAATTTACTCCTCTGCCTGTGTATGGCCAGCTTAACTTTGTAAATATTTTAAAGTGACTTCATAATATTTACAAACATTAATGTAAGTTTTCCTTTTCAGTTCTTATTATTAAACAAATGAGTGAGGGGTTGGAACCACTGCCAGTTTTTTTTAAAACTGATGTCTGTATCCACATAACGGAGATTCATTCTCTGTATTTGTCCAACATTTGAGGCTATTGTCAGAATAGTAAAAAAGGGGAAATCTCCCAGTGGAAACACTTGTTCTGATGACTATTGTCTTGGAGAGGAATTCCCTCACTTTGGAGAGATTTCCTCTGAATCTGTCTCTGATTTTGTCAACAGGACAGAAGTGCAAGCATCCAAATAACACACAAGTGACTAAAACAATGGATAAAGGGCTATAAACTTTCCCTACTCCATCCCAAATGGAAAAAATGTTTTGGTTTTAGATATACTTTAAATCTTCAGTATACTGAATTCATTGCAATGGGTGTCACCACATGCACATAAAACACCGGGACCAAAAACACCAACCTTAAAAAGCCCAACAAAACCCTTTTCTGAAAAATGCTGTAACGCTGTATAAAATGAAAAACATCTCTGAAAGTTGTAATGTTAAACATAAGTTGAAACATACACCAACTTGTTTTTTCACATCTTAAATATATTTTTGTGTTATGTCAGCATAACTGGTGAGATGTATCAATGATAAAAGGAAGCATCAACAAAAGATGAAGCATGCAGGAAGGTGATGAGCAAGGAGGTAAAACAAGGACATAGAAAGAACTACAATACTTTGTGATGATTGAATAAGGAAGCTGAAGAGAAGTCACATGTACCAGAACGTCAAAGGTTATCAAAGTCATCGTGCTTAAAAAATGATAGGTGCTGAAAAAATGGAAACTATGCAGTACAGGCACAGAAAGTTAAAGGAAATACAAAAAATATGAAGCAATATTAAAATGTACATCTTAGAAATATATTTGTTAAGCTATTGATAACACTCAGTCTGTACCTCTAACTTCTTCTGGTACTTCTCACATTCAAGCTGACACTTCTGGAGGTTTTGTGTGGTCTCTTCCAAAACCATGTGAGCACGTTCTGCCTCAAAAGATTTAAGCTTTGCTTGGTGAAGAAGTTCAGATACTTTGCTCTCTGTACCCAGCTGTAACTGCCTGTATCTGAAATAACAAAGACGTGTGAAGTCAACAATCCATATCTGAGGTTTCAAAACAGAGGAGAATAAAAATCACAGCAAATAATTCATGCATGTTTTAAACACAGACAGATGACAGCAAACAACCAGTGTAACTCACATACGGTAATAACCCTACCACTCAACAAAGACATTACATTTGTGTTCCAGTTCGATAATTATAATTAACCACATATCTGGGCCTTGATAATCTTTCAAATAAGTGACAGCAAAAGAGACTTTTGAAGAAACTTAACTTAGAGCAATATTATGCCTTTTAATTATATTCAAATTATTACTAAAATTACTACAACGCATTTTTATTTTGCCGTTGTTAGACTTCCTTGTTGACTAGCGCAGATTGATCACTAATGTGTTTCCCAAGATTTAAAACATGATATGACACATAAAACTAGCTTAGCTACATGATTCATAACTTAGACATCAACTGAATGTCTTTTGAACACTTGATACATACAAAGCAAAGTCTATATAACTGATTTGCATTTATATGAGATTTCACTTTACCATGAAAGATATCTGATGGTAGTGTAAAAAAACCTGTAAAACTAGAGCCACTGTAATACACTGTTCCCCGACAATAAAATCTCCTAAGGGGGTGAGTACTTTTTACAGAAACTTTATATTTGTTTACATGGACAGACATTTTTTTAAATAAAGAAAACACATACAACATAAAGCACATGTACTGCAGTGTTAAGAGTTTGACAGGTAAAATGGTTCTAGGATGCACAGAGCTGCATTCCTATGCACTTGGGAAAAACAGGCATGGAATGTAGCGGAGGGATTTCCAGACACATGCACTGCATCACTGGTCAACATTGTTTGTTCACTGGCTACTATTTCCTTGTTTATGACAATAGTAGACAAAAAACAGCTACAAAATTGTAATAAAACTGACCAATTTGTTATTTGGCTCAGGAGTGCTATTGAATGGGGAGCTGTACTTGTAAAAAGAAGGATGTGTGTCATACCACAAGAGATGGAGAGCTATACTTATGGCAAGGCAGGGGGTGCTTCAGAATGCTGGAGATGAAGAGCGGCATTGCCTTTTAGACCGCAGGAGATGGAGAGCTATACTTGTGATAATGCAGGGAGTGTGTCAGACCGCAAGAGATGGACAGCTATACCTGTGACAAGGCAGGGGCGCTTCAGAATTCTGAAGATGAAGCACTGCAGAGTGGTTAGACCACTGGAGATGGAGAGCTATACTTGCGACCACGCAAAGGGTGCTTCAGAATGCTGGACACGAAGAGCTATAGGGCGTTTTAGACGTTTTAGAAGATAGAGAGCTGTACTTGTGATAAGGCAGGGGCGCTTCAGAATGCTGCAGATGAACTGTAGAGCGAGTTAGACCACTGGAAATGGAGAACTATACTTGTGACAAGGCAGGGGGTGCTTCAGAATTCTGCAGATAAAGAGCTGTAGAGCATGATAGATCGCTGGAGATAGAGACCTATACTTGTGACAAGGCGGGGGTGCTTCAGAATGGTGGAGATGAAGAGCTGTAGAGTACGTCAGGCCGCTAGAGATGGAGAGCTATACTTGTGACACTGCAGGGGTGCTTCGGAATGCTGGAGATGAAGAGCTGTAGAGCCTGTTAGATCACTGAAGATGGAGAGCTATACTTATGACAAGACAGGGGGTGCTTTAGAAAGCTGGAAATAAAGAGCTGTAGAGCGTGTTAAACCCCTGGAGCTGGACAGCTGTACTTGTAATAAGGCAGGGTGCTTGTCAGACCACCAGAAGATAGACCGCCATATTCACACAGAGTGTTGTGGTCTTCATCTAGGGCCTGCTGGGGTGGAGCTGAATTTTGAGTCGGCACTGCAACTCCATTAAATAACCAACTGAAGTAAGCCATTTAAAAACCTATGTGGTTTTGTAGCTTAATATCACAGTTGGCCTTTAAGCGTTCTGTTATAATCTTCCTATCCCACTTATGCCTATATACTGTATGTCTTCCAAAAAATGCTAGAGACGTATGGAATTTATTTTTTACAAAAAGTAAAAAAGCAAAATAAAAAAGGCTGAGCTATGATCTATCTAAATGTCACAAGAAGATTGCAATGTGTACATTTTCTTAAAAGATGAAACAAAAAAAGAATATACATGTCACCGTCAGAACAAGTGTCGGGTAATTTACTGCAGGAGAAAAATGTGCTCTGGAGCAAAATGATTTTAAATATAGCCACATGCAATGCTGACTAAACATCTGTGCTAAAAAGGTTTTTAGAATAGTTATTTCAACCATTACACATTAAAGAGCAATCCTTGCGACAAGTGAAAGCAATCAAGACTCGCATATCATGTACAATGGTGCATTTATCGGTTTTCCTGGAGTTGTAAGATTTCTCTGTAATTCACTGATGTCAGACTTTATAGTCTTCACCTGTGAGATAGGTATGTCTGCTTACCAATGCCTGTATCACAATATGTGGCTTATATTCAAATCTGCCTCCTGTCACTCCATCACTTCACATTCATTTTGTTTCATTTTATTGCTAGAACCTACACATTTCTATTCTAATAGGAATACATACTACATAAAAATCCCTTTTATGTAGTGAGTGCTGCCTATCGCTTTCAACAACTTCCCTTGATTCCCAGTGTGCTTTGCATCTCTTTCCCTGCTGCTTGATGCGATTAAATCTTAATTTCTCAAGACTACATATTGCATCATGCAATGCTTCCAGTAAGCAATGATAAAGTAGCATTGTTCAGAACTTATGGAAATTAAATATAGAAATACTTGTTTTTAGTTTTTAACCATAGATACCATTTCACTTCATGTCTAAATTCCACCATCTGCCTTTCCACTGTCCAATGAGGCCAGTAAGGACACTGACAGTGGAATGGCAGCTGGTAGGGCTTAGAGTTCAGTTAACTGAAAGGCAGAACATAATCACGTACGGTGGATAATAGACTTCCATTCATTCATACATACACTCCTGTCAGTAAGTCCGTTCATTGGGCCACCTCTGCCAATTTGAACATACTTGAAGCTGACAAGGCAGTGATTCCACTCTTAAAAGACAGACCCCCTACATGTACACACACACACACACACACACACACACACACACACACACAGAGCAGTGCATTGAGAAATCTCTTGGTACAGGCAGACCCTCGTTCTAAATACATAAAAAAAAACAATTTTCCTTTTCAAGTAAAAAAGGTTGATATAGATGCTATAATTTCAACATCTGCAATTCAAATAGGGCTGCAGCCAACAATTATTTTCATAATCGATTAGTTGTCGATAATTTTTTCATCTAATCAATTGGTTGTATAAAAAAAAAAATCCCCAATCAACTAATCGATGATGAGAATAGTTGCCAACTATTCGCATCATCGATTATTATCAATTTAATCGATTAGTTGTCGCAGTCCTAAATTCAATCATTAGGGTGGATTCCTTTTCGCACCCTTACACTGGCAAAAAATACAACATTTGTGGTTAATATACCTGTGACACGGATTTCTGTGTATACCTGCTCAAATGCCCCTGTTCTCTAGTCTATGTGGGCAAGACAATTGGCCCATTTAAACGTCGCTTCCAAAAGCATAGGAGTGACATTGGCTAAGTTCCAACAGGGTGAAGACCTTGATATTAATAAACCTGTAGCAATACACTTTGCAAACACAAAACACCACGTACATGAGCTAAAGGGCATGATCATTGAGCAGGTGCACATGAATTTGAGGGGTAGCGACAGATCCAAATGACTATTACAGAAAGAGTCGTTTTGGATCTACTCTTGATTGCGTCCAACCCAGGGACTTAAACGCCAACCTATCGTTTTCCTGTTACTTTGATAACAGATAAACAATAATATGCTGCAATGTCCATCCACATTTATAATTAGTTTTAATTTTTTATATGGGGGCACACCAGTGGGATATGTAATACAGTGGCAGCTCTGGAAACCTCACATCTACCTTTATCCCTTCCTTTCTTTCCCCTCAGGTGCACACCAGTCACAAAATGTTGTTTCTGTTTTTTCCCTACCTTCCCACGTACTCCTGCCCCCCATTGCCCTTACGGTTATCTGGGTATCTATATTGTCTCCCCAATGGGAGTCCTAAACAGGTATCAACAACATAATTCTTGTGTGAATACGTTGGCCCTTAATTTTTCCAATTAGTCAGGTTTGTATCCTGACTTGATGTGGTTAATATCCATTTGGGTCCCCTAGGGGGACAATATTTCATCTCTTGTCCTAGTCTACATTCTGAACATGATATGCAATGTACACAATAAGAAAAGCTCTTTCGACATATACACAATTTATGTGAACATTCCTTATATGTATAATTTTCATATATTTTATGCGTTTATTTATAACAAATATCACACTGCATATGTTGGGTCCTGTGTTGATTCGTTTCTTAGTGATTAATATTGATCTTTGAATACTATCTACATTATGTTTAGGTTTATAGCCTTAAATATGACCAGTATAAATTTAACTTTTCTTTTCGTCTATTAACATGATGATACAGTTTTTCATGCAATTTTCTCAAACTTGGGATTGCAATGGGTACGACTTGACTGCTAGAGCCTCTATTACTGCTGGCTTCGGTCCTCTGTTCCGTGCTGCTTATATCGGATGGAGAACCACAAGAGCATCAGCATGTATAACCATAGACAGGAAGTGCCCTGCGTTCTACACGGCGCACGCACTGGTGGACGGGGCAGAGCTAGCTCTCTGCTCAGCGTCCTGTTTCCACAACAACAGGCTGATGTGATAGCACTCAACGGCTGTGAGAGCACTGCGTGCCCTTTCTCCACGGGCTGGCATTATGCAAGTCATTTCTGAATGCTGTATGGCGGGAGAATGGGACTACAGGACGTTGGAAGGAGTAGGAGGTTCCTTTCTTTTTAACATTTGAATATGCCTATTTAAATGGTGGTGTTGGTGTATTATGTAGTCATTCTGAGCCTGATGAAGGGGACCC